TTAGCCATTATGCTACCAGAGCTCCTTAGGACCATGCAAATATGTATCAACTTGGCTGGGCAGCTGGTAGTAGTTATTCCCTATAATGAGACTGGCAATTAGTCCAGTGGTGGAATTTGCCCTGAGCAAGTGAGTAGCTGCTTTTAAACTCCTGATTATTAAAGTCATCTACCTGGGGTGTTTTGTTGGAGCAGCACAAAGTAATTTTCTGGGAAAATTCACTCTCTCTCAGGTGTGTAGAATCCTGATGTTGAGATTGGTTAGTTATGTCACTCTGCCAGGCTTAAAATGAGCCCTCCTAGAGGCAGAGGGGAATCTCACTGCCGGCTGAGAGAGATGCCTGGCTGAGAGACAGTGGCAGTAGAACCATGAGGCATGAAACAGAATGGCAGGCTTACCTGGCCCACAGAGGCAGAGACCAGGCCGAGAAGCCAAGGGCCAGAGAGTTGTGTCTAAGGACACAGCAGAGGGGAGACTGTCCTGACTGAAGAACTGTATCCTGAGCATGTTCCTGAACTTGAATTGTAGCCTGTTGCTTTCCTAATAAAGCCCATAAACTGTGAGCTCTGTGTGGGCACTGCAGCAAATTATCAAACCCAGCAGAGAGGTGGTGGGTTCCACAAGAGGGACAGTTGGTGTCAAGGTTGGTAAGAGTGCTGGAGGGTGGCAGCATGTATGGCCTCATAGGAACAGACCTTGGGCTGCTGATAGTGATTTTGTCTTCCTCTTGGGAAGTTAGAGGACATCAGGAGATGCTGCCTCAGTGCCCCTTTAGCAGGTGGGTTTCATGGGAGATAGATGTGGCAGACTGCTTATGTAAAGATTTAAAAAAAAAACAAAAAAACCCACCACTGCCCTTGAGTTGATTCTGGCTCCTAATGACCTTATAGGACAGAATAGAACTTCTCCAAAAGATTTCTAAGGCTGTAAATCTTTAGAGAAGTAGACTGCCTCATCTTTCGCCCATGGAGCAGCTGGTAGGTTCGAACCACTGACCTTTTGGTTAGCAGCCAAATTCTTTAATCACTGCACCACCATGGTTCCTTCTGTAAAAATTACAGCCTTGGAAACCCTATGGGAAAGACTACTCTGTCTAATAGTGTCGTTCTGAGTCAGAAATGAGTCAATGGCAACAGGTATTTTGGTTTGGAAGGAGAGTTTGAGGTGGGAGGAAGGTTACCAAAGAAAGTTATTGAAGATAAAACAATTATTTGGGGTTATTTGGCCAGATTTGAGCTAATATGAAAAATGAATAGGGTTTGTGAATCAGTGGAATTGCTACTATAGGACTAAAAAGGATGCTATAATTATAATAATACCAAAACCCCAAACCCAACCCACTGCCATCGAGTAGATTCAGATTCATAGTGACCCTATGGGACAGAGTAGAACTTCCCCATAGGGAATCTGTAAATCTTTACAGAAGCAGAGTGCCTCATCTTTCTTCCATGGAGCAGCTGGTGGGTTCAAGCTGCCAATCTTTTGGTTAGCAGCCGTATGCCTTAACCACTGTGCCACCTGATGTCCTTAGTGATAACAATAGATAATATTTATTAAGGGCTTTCTTGTTCTAAAAGCTGTTTAAATGTTTTACAAATATGGACTCATTTATTCCTCATCATAGCTCTATGAGAAAGCTACAATCATTCCCATTTTATTAATGAGGAAACTGATCACAGAGAGGTTAGGCAACTTGCTACTTACCCTCCTATAAACACAATGCTTCCAGAAAAACCACTATCTGTGTACTTTCATAATGCTTTATTCACAGCTAATAAGTGCTAGACTATGCCATACTCAGTGCTCTTAACCACTATCCTGTATATTCTCTTTTTTCCAGATTACTCTGGAACCAAAGTTCTGGATATTTTATTTGTAATTTAAGGGCAAAACTCTTTATGGAAACAATATCAATATTACTTGACTTGTCAAAGCAAGCCCTGAGTGGAAATTATTTCTAAAATTAGTTTACATACATAGAATCATTTTAAGATAATCTATTTTATGGTTCTTATTTATCTTTGCCCTACGTAGGTGAAAAGCAAAGTTGTTGTTGTTGTTGTTATGTGCTGTAGAGTCAGACCCGACTCATAGCAACCCCTCCTTGGGTTTCTGAGGCAATATCACTATGGAAGTAGATCGCCCAACCTTCCTTCTGAGGGGTGGCCAGTGGGTTTGAACCGCCAGCCTTCTGGTTAGCAGTCAAGTGCCTTAGGCACTGTGCTACCAGAGCTCCCTGAGAAGCAAAGTAGAACTAGAAAAATCTAGTTTTGACCATAAAATATTATGTGTTTGAATCTCTAGGATGTTGCTATATTCCAACACTATAAAAGGATGATTAATATAAGAAGACAAGGGGAGCCACATCACATAGTGAGATATATTAATCCTAAAGAGGTAAGGGCATAATTTATTGATAGAGGTTTTTTTTTTTCCCTGAAATAGCAATTCACTGTGCTCATATTTGTTTCTTTTTTAAAAAAGTCTTTTTTTTTTTTAAGTATTACAAGTATAAAAGTTTATAAAACATAAATGTATAGCCTGTTGAATGAACAAAAAGCAAACACTTGTGTAACCAGATGAGTCTTTTCATACTCTAAACCACTTCCTTCATGTGACTTATAAATCACAGCCAACTTTCTCCTTCCAAAAAGTAATCAGTATTTGAATTCTAACATTTTACTTTACTTTCAGTTTTTGAACTATATATAAATAGACTCTTTACACCCACTCCTCATTTATTGACATGGTTAGGTTCCAATGACCTCCTAGATCGTTAGGTGAAAACTGGAGTTATGCAAAAATGGAGGATGACTACCTCACGTCACACCCTCATTTGTACTGTGAATGACCCGTCAGACCCTACTGGCATCACCTGCCACCACTGCCTCCCTCTTCCTCATGTCACCACTGGAGAGAACAGTCTAGTTCTTTATATATTCTGTATATAAGACCTTTAGGAGTTATCCGTATTACACATACCTTTTTTTAACTCAGTGGCTTGCCTTTTCACTCCCTCACTTTCCTTTGCTTTTTATTATGTAAAATTTCAAACATATTAAAAAATGTAAAGAATAGAATAATGAGTCATCATGTACCCATCACCTAGCTTCAATAATTAACATTTCATCTAATTGCAGTTCATCCAATCTCTTTTCATCTATACCTCCAGCTACTTTCCCCAAAGCCTTTATTTTGAAGCAAATTTAGGGTGTCTTTTGATGAATAGAGAGGAGCTCTGGTGGCATAGTGGGTAAAGTATTCAACTACTAACCAAGAGGTCGGTGGTCCAAACCCACCAGCTGCTCTGGCTGTCTGCTTCCATGAAGATTTATAGCCTTGGAAACCCTATGGGGCCCTTCTACTTTGTCCTATAGCGTCATTGTGAGTCAGAATTGACACAGTGGCAGTGGGTTTGTATTTTTGTTTGTTTTTTAAGAAATAGAATACTTAATTTTAAGGTAGTACAATTTATTAGTTTTTTCTGTACATTTGATACTTTTTTTTATGACTTTTCCCAAATTAAAACTCATTAAAATATTATAACATGTTATATTATATTATAGTAGCTCTTTTGATTTGCCTTTCATACTGAGACTTACAGTCTACCTAGGATTATTTCATTGGAACATGGAATGTACAAAGTATGAATCTAGGAAAATTGGAAGTTGTCAAAAATGAAATGGTACGCATGAAGATTGATATCCTCGGCATTAGTGAGCTGAAATGGACTGGTTTTGGCCATTTGAATCAGACAACCATATGATCTACTATGCCAGGAA